GGCCAGAGCAGCCCAGAGCGGAGGGGCGGTTATCCTGACGGTTGCAGCGCAGACAAGTGGCACACCTCCAGTAACTGCGCTGCCAGACCCAGTCATGTTTCACTGAGGCGACGGGGTCGGTAACTTTGCTCGGGGCTTTCTTCTGCCCAGCCCCCGAAAGGTTCATGCGAGGCCGCGACGACAGCGGCTTGGCACCAAGACGCGTCATCGACTTCACAACTCGAATGTTGAAAGCCATTTATTGCTGAAGCTGGGGCGAGGCAGCTGGGCGTTGTGCCAGCGCCGCCTTCGCTGCAGTATCGGCGGCCTCGTTGCCGTGCTTTTAGAAGAGATGCTGCGGACCGAGGTCTTCCGAGTCCTGGGCGTGAACTTGATTTTGACCACAGACGCCCACGGGGCAGACAAAGCAGATCACATCATGCCAGCATCGGGGCGCCTGTAGGAGAGACGCCTTGGGGTCCCCAAAAAGCACGGGCAACATTAGAGCAATCGGAGTGCTTCCTAGCGGGTTCCGCGAGGCATTGGGAGGCAGCTTCAAGCGCGCCGAACTTGCCAGCTTGGGTGGTCTGGGGGGGGGCACATAGGCCCATGAACCGAAACCAGCAACTCGCCTGTCTCCTTATGGTCTCGAGATAATGCACGAATAATATGCTTCTGGCAGCTGCCATCCGTCAACACGTCGCCTGACATACTGGTGTCTTGTCGACCACGGTCCTCCTTCCGAGAGATGACGGTGCCATCAGCAGCACGAGGGTGGGGCCACATATCACCAGGGGTGAGAGAGAACGCCTTTGATGAAAAGCGCAACGCTGGCAGCACAAGGCGCGTCTATCGCTCGGGCGGCGCCCTGGATGTCACTTTCGGCCAGACCACCTTGTGCTCCTGAACACAGGGGTGGCCTTGCACAAAGAAGGCGTATATTCGACCCCAACGGGCACCCGCAAGCAGTAGCACGATCGCACGTCCAGGCAGCTCGGCCGCAGTTCATCGCGCGAATGCTGCCCTTCTTGGGGGCAGAGAATTTGCTAGAGCGAAGGGCAACTTCCACGACGTCGTAGCACAGCCTGGACCCCAGCCCGCGAGTCTCACCATAGTCACGATGGAGCTGTCGAGGAACTTATTCCTTCAAAGCCTTCTTGACGAGGGACGGGGAGTAAGTAGTGAGTCCTAGGACTTTACCAGCATCGATAAACCAGGAGCAGTCAAAGGACGTGGAGGAAGAGGATGAGGAAGTTCGAGCGAGCGAGCGAAACTCTGGGACCCCGTGCCCACTGCAACCCGAGGCCCTCTGCGAGCGCAGACCCGCTTCGGGCATCAAGGCGCTCAAACACAGGATCTGGGTGACCTTCAAATGCGCGTTGTCGGAGGAGGAGGAGGAGGAAGAGGAGGAGGAGGAGGAGGAGGAGGAGGAGGGAGGGAGGAGGAGGAGGGGGAGGAGGAGGGGGAGGAGGAGAGGAGGAGGAGGAGGAGGGAGGAGGAGGAGGAGGACGAGGAGGAGGAGGACGAGGGGAGGGGGGGGAGGAGGAGGAGGAGGAGGAGGAGGATGAGGAGGAGGAGGAGGAGAGGAGGAGGAGGAGGAAGAGGAGGAGGAGGAGGAGGAGGAGGAAGAGGAGGATGAGGAGGAAGAGGAGGAGGAGGAGGACGAGGAGGAGGAGGAGGAGGTAGAGGAGGAGGAGGAAGAGGAGGAGGAAGAAGACGAGGAGGAGGAAGACGAGGAGGAGGAGGAGGAGGAGGATTCGATTTGATTAGCACACCTTCAGCGCCAACCTTGTTTCTGGCATAGTGCGTTCTTCAGCACTCAAATTATAGCTCGTAAAGTCGCGCACTCGTAAGTCGTGATATTTCGCACAACTTCGAATGGCCTCTGACATGGTGAACCTCAGACTTTAAGAGGAAAGTGCACATGCCATGCTCTATGCACTACGGCCGCAGCTTGGGTCCCGAGGAGGACCAGCCTGGCCCAGGCAGCCACCGACGCATGAGGTAGCCACGAGGGACCAAGGAAACTAAAGGGTAGCTCGTGCTTTAGCTATGCTCAAAATGTGCCTACTCTTGAAACGTGTCTCGAGTTTAGCGGCCCTAAGGGAAAACCCCGCACGGTGCTATGTATTCCGTGATTATGTGGGCATCCGAGGGATGAGCGGGGGGAGGTGGCGGAGGAGGGTGAGAAACACGTAAAAACAGTGGGCAGCCTCAGGCGCGTTGAGCTCCTGATGATGAGGTACTGGAGGTGGAGGGTCATCGGCAGCAGCGGCAGACGAACCATTCTTATCCTCCGTACTCCTCATGGAACTCTTGGGCTGTGCCTGAGTCCAAGGTGGGGTATCATCTGGTAGATGTAGTATTTGCAGGTCGTCATCAATGTCCCCATCTGCATTCAAATAATAACCTACCTGGGTTGTGTCCTCCACCCTTACTTCAATCATGTCTCGAGAAACTGCTGAATCTCTCTCTCCATATATGCTGCTGGAGCTCGGCCGTGCTTACGCTTCACGTTGGGGATATGCATAATCGAGCTGATCAGTAGGTGCCGGAATGTCGGGTCTCGGCAGGCTATCGTCAAGCGGCGCTGCTCCTTGTGGTATACTTTGTCTTGGCGGCAGAATAGAACGAGCTCGCACTTCGTGTCGACTGAGTATTCTCCGTACTCCTTGAAGCTTTTCGATACTTGTTGAGCGTTCTGTGCACCGATCGCTTCTCCTAGGGACGCCAGTCCCTTGAGCAGTCCTCCCATTGCTCAGATGAACGGTGGGCCGAGCTCGTGGTCCTTGCCTGCTTTCTTCACGGCCTGCGCGTAGATGAAGGTCTGCTCGCTCATCATGGTGATCAGCACGCATGTGGCTGGGAAAATGAATGTGTCGAGTACGACTCCCGCTAGGTATCGCCCTTGCTGACTTACTTTTAGCAACTGTTTCATGAGGAGACAGAGTAGTTTGCGAGTGGGATCGTCGATCTTTTTTTGACTGTGACCGATACTTCTGCTGCGTTGCCCAATCCCTCTGTCTTTTTCTTCTTCGGGTCTTTGTCGTTGCCGTGTGACATGTCGGGGGCCTCGGACTTCGTTGTAGATTCTTTGGGGGCCTCGAGACAAGTCGGCATGATGTAGCCGCGGAAGAGGGTGTGGTAGGTGAGATTCTCGAAGGTGCCGAAACAATGAAAGGTTTGATTCAAACACTATGGAGGGCTCAGGGCATATCGGGCATTTCCATTCGTCCAGCTGTATGGGTTCCCAAGACATATGAGCGCGACCCATAGCACAACGTCCATAGCCGTAATATTGTTTAAGATGTTTCCGAGTGTTGTCCACATCCCGAATAATACTGAGGCAGTTGGGGCATTGATTTCGAGTCACCCCACTGTGTAGTACATGTTGTACGCGATGTCCATTTGTCTGGTGTCCCATTCGTGCCCGATAAGTATCATACTGGAGACCACATGGGGAGCCCTGAGTGCCCTCGATCATACATGTGAATCTGTTTATGCTCTTGGTTTCAGGACAATGTAGTTCTGGAAATAGCGTTTTAAACGCCGCGGCCCTGAGAATAGAGGGGTCCAACTTCAAGAACTCATGGGAGGAGTCGGAGGAGGGGTCGAAGAGCGCCTCCCAGGAGAAACCACTATCTTCCCAGACTTCGAACAAACTCTCGGTCCCGCTGATCCCTCTGAAGAGCTGGAGGTTCTGGTCAAAGGTTTTTGCCCACGGGTTGGCGGAGGAGGAGGAGGAGGAGGAGGAGGTTCTGGTCAAAGGTCAAGGAGGAGGAGGAGGAGGAGGACGACGAGGAGGAGGAGGACAAAGAGGAGGAGGGGGGGGAGGGGGAGGGGGAGGGGGAAGAGAAAGAGGAGGAGAGGGAGCAGCGAGGAAGGAGGGAGGGAGGGAGGAGCCCACGCTTTCACAAACTCACACGCCGGGTCGGCTGATATGCCTTCGTAATTCCTTCTGTAGAGTGCACCAACGTGAATTGACGTCTGGTAATCGATGAGATAGCGCCGACTTATCGTCGATTAGCGTCGATGTGTCGCTGGTTATCGTCGACTAGCGTCGATCAGCGTCGATTCGCAAGAGCCCACAAGATGGTATAGAGGGCTCCCATGAGTTGCCACCGAAAGTGGGGATTCGGGGTGACTGGACTTGGATCGTTTTCCGCGGATGTCTCGGGCGACTGGGGCCTCCGAGGTCTCCAAAGCTTGCGGTGGCGGAGCGTGCGGTGAGATTTTGGGTTGTTCCGAAGTCACCGCGGTGTGTCACCGCACCGTCTTGGGACCCCCAATGCTCTGGCCAGGGACCTGCCCCTCGTGGAGACACTCCCACGACCGAGCCCGGGCGGCCCCCCTCCTTCCTTGGTCTGGCTCGGGCTCCCCCGCTCCTGACCCACGCGCCCGCCGATGTGTTTGTTGCGCAATCCGCGGCCTCAGAGTTCCCGATCGCTTCCCAGGGGGGCAGTTCTCCGCTGCCGATCCGCGCTCGACATCGCGCCCGGGCCCTCCCAGGAAGAACCGCGGGATTCATCGGGGAGCCCAGGGAGGCCTGGACCAGTTTCAGTCAGAGCCGCACACGAGTCTCCAGACCCTCCACCAGCTCTGTGCACCATGGATGGGTGACGATCCCGTCTCAGCCTCAGGGTACCTCGCCAGTTTAGTCCGGTCGTTGACGCCCCTCGTAGGCCCAGTGAGGTTCTCAATTCTGATGACTGCTCCGTTCTTGCCGCATCTCGTGGACAGGAGACGTGTTCATATCCACGGCCTCGCGGGCCGCGACCCCCTGGGCACAGGGCGTTCTGTCGTGGATGCCGCACGCGGCAACGTATCCATGCGACCGCGCATCTGCGGGATCGCGCCCCAGAGCCCAGGCCGCGAGGGCGCGGATATGGATGCGCCTGTCGCTCTGGACCCCCCTCGGCGGCTCCCTCAGCGCCTCCCCGGCGGCGTCGCCCTCGGCTCCCTCGGCGGCTCCCTGGGCGGCTCTCTTGTGGTGGCTGGCGACGACCCCCCCCCCCCTCGAGGAGCTCAAGCGGAGCTCCCTCGGCGCCTCCGCGGAGGACTGGCGGCGCGCGCGCCAGGCGGTGGCGCCTGGGGGGAGGGGGGGGGGAGCGGCCTTCTGAAAGAGGGCGCGGGGGGGGCGCTGCCCGGACGGCAGGGCCCCTCTCAGAAGGGCTCCGAGCCGACAGGCCTCCCAGGAAGGCCCCCGCCTTCTCCGAAGGCTGCTCCTCGGGGGCGGGGGGGCGCTTCTCGGACGGCAGGGCCCCTCTCAGAAGGGCCCCGAGCCGGCAAGGCTCCTGATAAGGCCCCTGCCCTCTCGGAAGCCTCCTCCCGCTCCTCCTCCAGCCTTTTGCTTAGAAGTAGTTCCTCCTCCTCCTCCTTCTCCTCCTCCCCGCCTCCTCCTCCCTTCCTCTCCTCCTCCTCCTCCTCCTCCTCCTCCTCCTCCTCATCTCCTCCTCCTCCTCCTCCTCCTCCTGTTCCTTTTGTTTGACGTTTGCGCGGACTATATCGACCCTCCTCCTCCCCCTTCCTCATCCTCCTCCTCCTCCTCCTCCTCCTCCTCCTGTTCCTTTTGTTTGACGTTGCGCGGACGTAGATCAGACCCTCCTCCTCCACTTCCTCCTCCTCCTCCTACTCCTCCTCCTCCTCCTCCTCCTTCTCCTCCTCCTCCTCCTCCTCCTCCTCCTAGAGCCCTTCTCCTTGGAAGTAGCTCCTCCCCCTCAGACACGTCAGTAGGGTGGGCCAGGCGCTTCGCCTGAGACTTCCTCACCATTTTTGGTCCTGCAGCTTGAACGTCACAACTGTTTCACGGATGGAGGGCGGGTGGTTTTCAAAATGCGACTCTCGACTTAGCGCCGCGCACAGTTGTCAGTTTAAATGTTTACAGCAGTTTCGAAGATGGAGGGCGGGCGGTCTTCACAATGTGGTTCTCGCCTTCGCGCCGCGCGCAGTCGTCATTAAACGTTTGCAGCAATTCCAAAGGTGGAGGTTCGTTTTCAAAATGTGTCTCCTTTGCGCCGCGCATACTCGGCTTAAAACTATGGGTTCGTATGGTTGGTATGGGTTCGTATGGGTTTAATACGAGACTCCGGCATTGTCAAGGGTTCGTATGGTTACAGTCCCAGGAATGGTGTTGTGGCACGAACTCGATGGGAATGTCAGGACGCAGCTGGGTGGCGGTGTTGAAGTCCCCGGGATAGTGATCTGCCGCGACTTCGGACTGCCAGGACGCAACAGTCAAGTTAGTTCGCAACGTTGAAGTCCCAGAACCAGTGTTCTGGCAATTGAAGATTCTTAGACGGTTGTCTTCTAATTGGCATTTCCCGCAATGAGAATACATTATTGCAGGGACCTGTGAAGAGGAAACTTTGAGGGAGGTTTTTTTTATGCGACATCATTGGTGCGTGTTGGGTGTGCGCTGGTCCTCCTCCTCCTCCTTCTCCTCCTCCTCATCCCCCCCCTTGCCTTCTCAGATCGGAAGGGGGCCTTCTCGAGAGGGACCCTGGGGAGGCGCCTTCTCAGACGGCAGGCCTTGAATCAGGATCCGCGACACTTTGGTTGATTTTCGGTCCTGAAGCTCTGTTGGACACGCGCCCCAAACGATGCGAACACGTAAGGCGCAAGTTTCAGCCTCTGAAAAAGTAGGGCGAATATTTTCGCAAAGTAAGACGCAAGCAGCGACAGCAAAGTAGGGCAGACGTCGACATCAAAGTAGCTTGAAAAGCAGGGCTGGAATTTTCACCCTACTTGTGAAATGGCCCAATGTACGGCCGATCAGAAGTCAGGAGGGGCCCTGCGCTACTCCCTGGACCTCTTCCGGGATGCGTTCCGATCAGAATTTCAAAGCGAGTCCAGCCGTGGCGACGAGGGCCTCCCAGGAGGCCCAACAAGGCGAAAGCGAAGCAAGGGTAGCGGTATCCCCAGATCCCTTTTTTTGTTCACAACGTCGACCCTTAGAGATCTGGACCCCTTCCCCGGGACCAGCTTTTGCTCCCGAGTTGTTTTTGGATGGGGCCAGCTTTTCACCCCGAGTCGTTTTTGGCGGTCCTGGGGCGCGGTGAGGGCTCCTGGGGGCCGAAAATCGCCAAGAATTGCCCGACGTCGCTTTCCGCGACGAGAGTCAGAAGGCGAAAACCCACACCCACCCCCAGTCCCGACGCCCATCCCCGAGCCGGCGATTCAAGGGGCCGGGACTGGGGGTGGGGGTGGGTTTTCTCCATTCCTGGACCCCGAAAACCCACCCCCACCCCCAGTCCCGACTCCTGGAATCGCGGGTTCGGGGATGGAGTCGGGACTGGGGGTGGGGGTGGGTGTTCGCCTTCTCAGAGAGGGGCAGCGGTATTTCAAGGTTCGGGCTCGCCTTTCTTGGAGTGCGGGCCCCCCTCCGCGCGCCGCCGCCAGCGGCGCGCGCCGCCGCGAGGAGGCGGCCCAGGAGGGCGCGAGGCGGCCCCTCGTGGTCCGCGGCCTGCGGACCGACAGCGTGCTGCGGTGGAGCGGTGGCGCCGCCCAGGGGGGGGGGGTCCCTCCCCGTCCTGCCTTTCCCTCCCCTCCCTCCCTCCCTCCCTGCCTCTTCTCTCCCTCCCTCCCTCCCTGTCCTCCCTGCCTCCCTCCCTCCCTCCCTCCCTGCTGGGACGTCTGCTGGGCTCTGGTCCATGTGGAGTCAGCCATCAGCTGGCTGGCACACGTGGAGAGGCACCCGGAAGACCATGCCTCCAGGCTTTTCCGTTACTGTAAACACTGGGTTTCGGAGCATCGGTGCTTTGATAGCCTAGGAGGTCGCCGAACCAATTCTAGAACTCACAGGGGCCATGTTTTTCGATTCGATTATAGGTCTTGGACCTCTCGTTTTTTTTTTTCCTGAGGGCTCTCGAGACAAGAAGGTGCGCCATCAACTGGCTAGGGACATGATGGATTGGGCTATGAGTGCTCCCATCTCCTCCCCTCAGTAACTATATGGCTCAAGTATGCGCTGCGCTTTTGTGCTTTTCTTCATTCCGCCCCTGATCAGAGGCCTTATCACTACAATCTCTTCTTCAGCAGACCTACCTTCTCCTGACCTAGACGAGGTCTGGTGTCCAATCACTCCCACTGTGCCTCTGGGTTCTTCTTCAACCACACCCAGTTCTCCTCTGGGCTCTTTCGATCGCAAGGCTCTGGGCCGTTGGGCACTCAATCGCAAGGCGGCTTCAGATGGCAAGGAAGGCACCGAGGGCATTCCTTTGGGCTTCGGCTGAGAAGCAGAAGCTTTTGAAAGACAAGCTGGAGAAGCGCAGGAAGACCATCTTGGAGCCCACTACGAAGCTCCCACCACCAGTTTTTCCCAGGAGCCCTCGGCCTCCACCTCCGCCGACGGCACCGGTTGCGACGGAAGAGGCTCCGAAGAGGTCCGCCAGCAGGAGCCGCAGCAGGCCGCCGGTTGCAAGGCGCAGAGTGGCACCGGGCGGTTGTGGCCCAACAGGAGGAGGTGCTGGCTCCCCTGGGGGCAAGAGCATGCCCGCTGCACAAGACTACGAGTCAGCTGGCCATGCTGTCGCTCAGCAAGGCTCTTCCAAGGGAGTAACACATGGGGAAGCCAGCGGTTCCAGCTCCACCGGCTCCAGCGAAGAGTCCGCGGGTGCGAAAGTGATTCCCAGGCCTCGAATCCCAGCAGCCAAACCGTGGGAGCACTCCGTCAAGCCGTGGATCAGCCCGATTGGCCCGCCCATTCTCGAGTCCCATATCAGGAAGGATGACGATGGTTATCCGACATTTCCTCCTTCAGATGGGTTGGATTACGATAAAGCGAACAGCGAGAATTGTATTCTAGTCTTTTGTCCTCAACTTACCGCTTGTGACGTTTTCCGCTCACGCGATGCTGGATCGGGCTCTATTCACCGGGTGAAGGAACTTACCCCTTTTGTTGTCGACGATCAAGGCTCTCTTCTCAGCAACTTGGGAATGTCTGCCCTCCAAGAGAAGGGTGTCCTGAGGGCCAGCGATGTCCTCGACACTCTTTATCGCTATGGGTTCGCCTTTGCGGAGCGGTTTCAGATGAAGTTAACTATACGGCTGCTCCTTCGAGACGAGCGACGGAGCCAAAGAGGTTGGCCCGCATATCCTCCCCTATGCCAAATCAGTGAGCAGCCCCAAGAAGATTAAGGGCGGTGAGGTCCTGGTCCCACCTGCTCAAAATGGGAGGGATGGAAGATTTAAGCGATCTGATTTCAGTCTACTGCGGCTCTCAGGACGCACCAGTAAGGTGCCATCTTTTATGCAAGCCGAGGTCAGTATTCAGAATTGGGTTCCTTATGGTGGGTTCTTGCTTTCTCCACTCTTTCTCACTCTCATTCGCTTAATACTATTTGGTTCTTCTCAGTTCACCCTTCAGTTACGCCTCATCTGAGGTCTTCATATTTCTTGGGTTGGCATGTCTTCTGTCGTCGCCCCCTTGCAGGCGAATGGACTGTCCAGGCGGCTTGGCCGAGGCTGCGCTTGGAAAAAGAATCCCACCCCCCGCCAGTCTCTTTGGGCTTTCCCTCTTTTGTGGAATTTGGGCTTCCTCCTCGGTCTGTTCCCATCTTCGGCGTCCGACTGGGGCGGCCTCTCAGGGCGGGCTTCGTATTTCGATTTCACTTATGTGGGTATCCTGGGTGCACGGCCTCGTGTGGGCTCCAGTATGTGTAACTTTCGGTGTGCTATCTCGCAGCCACTTGATGCTCGAAGTCTGTACATGTACCTTTGCATATCCTGTGCACTTAGTCTGCTTATGCCACCTGTTCTGCCCCTCTGCTCCTTACCCAACGATCCCAGTGTCATCAAACATGGCGTTTGTCCTGGGCATTCGAGACCAAAACACTTTCTGGCGCCTCACGACTTATTATCCATTCTGCGATCCTGTTCGCTGTGGTACAAACGTGTGTACTCTCTTCATGTGAAGTTTCAGGTGTGGGATTCGTCGTCGTCTTTGTGGTGTTCTGTTTCTTCGTGCATTGTCCTGTGGGTTGAAGTTGATAGGTGGATGCGCTTTGGGCCCCGTTCGAAGTTGACTTCTGGGTTACGTATTAGTCCTCTCAACACTAGGGTGGACTGGAGTCAGGTGGAGAAGTGTCGCCGGTTCGTTCGCCAGTCTTCGTCATCGTAGTGCCTAGGAGCTTTTACGTTTGAGATGCTTCTGTCTGTGCACACTACTTCGTGTCTACTCTATCGCCATTTCAGCCTCAAACGGAGTAGGCACTGCGCCCTCCATTTGCGGCCTGCCATCACTCTGGGTTCCTCGACCTGTGACTGCATCATGGGGAAGCGCAAGGCTAACCCTGCCGTTCTCCTCGCCAACTCGAGGACTAAGTGGCACACGGGATCGGGGGGCTGGTGGCTGGTGGCACTACAGTGAGCAGGACGAGTCCTACACAAAGGCGTGGGAACACGAACGCCATGCGATCTGGGTTGACCATAAGAGCGGCTGGGCTCAGAACGTCATTTGGTATCTAGACGGTCTCGATTGGACTGACGACGGTGTGGTCGAGTATTGGAAGTGGAGGGCTGCTCCATCGATGCACGACTAAAGGAGCCTTTCATTATTATTCTTCACTAGACCCTGCCCAATACAAAACGTTATAAACCGTGGCTTGGTCAGCTACGCTTACTCATCGCACAATTTTGTGTCCTTCATGTTCTCGCGCGCTTCCTTGGATTCACAGTGCTGTTTACTCCGCATTCTTCATTCCAGAATCAGTTTGGCTCCACTGTTCATATGTATCCTTACCCTCAATGGCCTCTGATCACTGGACCCCCCAGTTCAATGTAATTCCTTATGGTTGTCATTATACATGGGTTGTTATTTCGGTCCTGTGGGTTATATATATACATACATATATATATATATATAAATTCATTGTGAGCTCATTACCTGCATTCTAGTTGGGTTCTTGGAAGATTCAAAGCGAACGCCGCCTGGAGGGCTAGTTACAAACTGGGTTCGGCTTATCAGTTTGGGTTATTATCTGTGCTTTCTTCTCTCTTTCTCCTGCTCTCTCTCGTCTCGTTTTCTTTTCTTCATCTCTTCTTTTCTTTCCCACCTTCTGTCGAGGGGCGGCTGGCGGTGGCGCTTATGAGTCGCGCGGATATCGGGAACCCGTCTGCAAGGGCGCGTCATCATCATCATCATCATCATCATCATCATCATCATCATCATCATCATCATCATCATCATCATCATGCTCATCGTCCCTCCCTTCCTCTTCCCTCCTTTCTCCCTCCGTCCCTCCCTCCCATACCCCTGGTGGGGGATGCTGCCGCGAGAGTGTTTTTGTTGGTGGTGGCCGTTGTGTCCATGGTCTTCCGCGTCGCCATCCTCTTCGCCCTTCCGAATCGCCCCCTGTTCTGCGCAGAGGGCCGCCGCAGGGTGCGCGAGGGGCGCGCGAGGGGCGCCTGGGCGGGGCCACGGGGCGAGGACGGGGAGAGGGAGAGGAAGAGGGGGCCGGAGGGGGGGGGGAAGATGGGGAGTGGGAAGAGCGACGAGCGGAGGAGGGGAGATGTGGAGCGGGAAGCCGGGAAGAGGAGGGGGGGATCCGTCCATTTTGTTTGCGCCGATCAGCACTCTTCTTCCTCCTCGTCCTCCTCCTCCTCCTCGTCCTCCTCTTCCTCCTCCTCCTCCTCCTTCTCCTTTTATTTTCCTCCTCCACCTCCTCCTCCTCCTCCGCCTCCTCCTCTCCTCCTCCTCATACTCGTACTCATACTCCTCCTCCTCCTCCTCCTCCTCCTCCTCCTCCTCCTCCTCCTCCTCCGCCTCCGCCTCCTCCTCCTCCTCCTCCTCCTCCCCGCGGGTCGGGGCGGGCGCCGGCGCCTCTGCCGCGCGGCGCCCCCTCGCCAGGTGAGACCGCGCCCAACGACCGCCACCTGGTGCTCTGCGAGCGCATCACCGCGGCCGCCGGGGCGGGCGAGGCCAGCCCACCCCCGTGAGGAGGAGCGAGGAGCGAGGAGCGAGGAGGAGCGAGGAGGAGGAGGAGGGAGAGGAGGAGGAGGAGGAGGAGGAGGAGGAGGAGGAGGAGGAGGAGGAGGAGGAGGAGGAGGAGGAATAAGAGGAAGAGGAGAAGGAGAAGGAGGAGGAGGAGGAGGAGGAGGAATAAGAGGACGTAGAGGAGGAGGAAGCGAAGCGAGGAAGGGGAGGCAGAGGAAGAGAAGGAGGAGGAGGAGGAGGAGGAGGGCCAGTGTAAGCCCAAGATGTATCAGCGATGCTGCAATACACCCTCCCGTCCCAGGGCCCCTGAGCATACTTCCCTACACGCGTTTCGTCCTCACTGCAAGAAGATGCAAGAAACGCCCCCGTTGAAATACAGGCGCAATTTGGCCTGCCAGTTCGTTGCGAGGGCCCCGCTTTGAAAAGGAATTACCTCGCATCCTTCTGGCGCATCATCACGTACGAGAGACGTTGATCATGCAGTTCGACAGGGTGACCAGCGATATCCCCCTTTCGAAGAAATACCGTCCCCACCCGTGGAACTTGTTGCGCACATCTACTTATATGGTCTTGAACTTGGAGGAAATGTCAAGCGAGAGCTCCATGTTAAGAAGAGCCTCCCAGGATCCGTGCAACGCTGCGTGTGTTTCAGGTTCGGGTCCCCAAGATTGACGAAGCCTTGAACTAGAACCCAAGTTTGAAACAGCTACGAAGGCGCGCGGGGCTAAGGCGAGGGCCCCATTTTGAAGACGGCGTGTTCAAACCTTGCAACCGTTGCAAGATTTCCAGAAGAAGGTGCGCGGCGCTGAGGCGAGAGCCACATGTTGAAGACGGGCCGCTCTCCATTTTGGATATTTTAAGCGTGGGCAAATGTGCGCAGCCTTAAGGCGAGAGCCACATTTTGAAAACCACTCCCCTCCACCCCGTAAGTTGACGCAAATGTGCGCAACGCTGGGGCGAAACCTACATTTTGAGAACGCACCCCCTCCATTCCTGAAGCTGTTGTGCACTCTTACGACGATTTTGCGCGCCACCAAGGCGAGAGCCACAACTTGACCCCCTCCAGTATTACAGGCGTTGCAACATTTGAAGACGAATGTGCGTGTCGTTACAGCGAGAGCCATATTGTAATGGCCTCCGGCCAGTGCCGCCGATCTGGGGGCGCTCTTGGTGCGGCCTGTCTGTTGGAAGAACAGGTAGCATGGCATGGGGATGCCGGAAGCTAGATGAAGCGAGGGAGAAGGACGTTGTGAGAGGGGAGGGTGGAGGTATGGAGGAAACAGGGGGTCGAGGAGGGGGGCGCGAGTGGAGAGGAAGGCGCGGGCCGCTTTCGCAGGGAAGCGGGGGAGAAGAGAGGGGAGTCAGGGGAACGGAGGAGGAGGAGGAGGAGGAGGA